CAATGATTTTAATCATTGGTGGTTAAAAATTATTGTTTTAAACATCACATTATGTTAATTATATATATTTACATTGTAATTATTATATTATACATCATATTATATTATACTATACATATTATTATTATTATCAAACATTTTTTTTTTAATCGTCAAATTTAATTGTTGTCATTACTTATTATAAATATTTTTTTTGTCATTTCGATTATTTTTTGTAGTAATGACTAACTGTATTCAAAAATTTTAGCCTGGAAATACGCTTTTGAGGATATAATTCAATATATTTTTTAATATTATTTTTTTTTTCTGGTACCGTGTTGTTGATGGTCTTGTGTCAGTATATTCTGCATTAAAATGTAGGTGACAATTTGTAATTGTGATAAAACATCAATGAAAACAAATATATTTGKATGTGGTGATGAAAATGATTTATTGAACTTCGCGTGGAAAGCTTCATATTTGAGCTTAAAATATAATATAATACGAGTAATTATAGGAAAATGAGTGTTAACTAAATGTTTAACCCCTTCAAATACATGATCATTTTATTGAAATACTTATTTTGAGCCCAAGTGCAATTCGACCAYACCCATAATTTTTATATTTCCACCAGGGGAAATTACCTCTCCTAAATATACGGGCCTATATAGGTATAAAGTTTTTTTCTATGTATATGTTATACAAATATTATGTCAGTTTGTGAGTTTAACACTTTAACATTAATACAAGGTTTTTGGTGCAATGGTGCTTACAGCAACTTAAAAAATTAAAAAGCGGGTAAGTCATGGATGTCGCTCTGCCGTACAGTAGATTACAAGTAGGTTACTGATTACTGTAATGGATGGAATTAAATTAGGTAACAAATACATTTTTATCGATATTAATTTTAAAAAAACTAATAATGATCGAAAATTTCATATGCCTATAAATAATTCAACTTAAGTCAAATTTTTTTGAAAATTGCATGGTGGATAGAACTTATATACACATTCAGTGAAAATTTCGTGTATCTATGGTCATTTGTTTTAAAGTTATATCAAAAACCAAAATCGATATTGTCAAAAATTGATTGTG